AAAAAAAAAAAAAAAAAAAAAAAAAAAACCAAAAAAAAAAAAAACCCAGACCGTGCGCTCCTCTGCTCTTAACCACATGCTGGACTCTTGGGAGTCCTGAACACTCACGTAACAGGGAAACAGAAGCTTCAGTTCTTCTTTTATTTATTTTTCTGGGAAGTGTAGCAATGGCCAAACCTTGGCAAGATGAACAATAAAAGCAAAGGAAATCTCTAAGCGCCACCTTGTGGAACGACCTGGCACTGCAGTTGCATTATCTGAGAGGGTCCCCTTCATTCATTCAACAGATTCTGATTGAGCTATTGACTGAGGGTCTCCTATGTGCCAGACATGGAGGAAACAGCAGGAGAGATGCCAGGCAAACAAGCCTGCCCTCGTGGAGCTTCCATTCCGGGGAGGGAAGACAGGCCATAAGCAATAAAGAGAATAGTGGCTGGAGCAGATGCATGTGAAGATGGGCAAGGAGACGGGGAGAAGCAGGCCGGGGCCCTGTCAGCTCTCATGCATGGTGATAATGAGTCCAGCTTTTACTCTGAGTGTGATGGCAGCCACTGGAGGTTTTTGGCAGGGCGGTGACATGATCTGACTTATGTTGTAAGAGGATGCCCTTGGCTGCTGGGTGGAGGACAGATGCACAGGGGCGGAGTGGAGGAAGAGACCTGTGGGGCAGGGCGCTGGGGGTGCATCTTTCTCAAGCACGTGCCAAGGACTTAGTGGGGAAGGTGCAGGCCTCAGAACACCTGCTACCTTGGAAAGATCATGATGATTCTGTGGCCTCAGTTTTCTCATCCGACAATTGGGAATGAAAAGGCACATCTTGCCCTCTGGAGCTCCATGGGACAGACCCATTCCTAATCCCCAAATGAGGCTAAATTTATAAAGAGGAGATGGTGGCCCTGCACCCCCCTATCCAAGACTTTTCTTCTCCAGGATGGCCCACTCCACCCCTTTGGTCATTCCCCAGGCCTCTCCCAGCATGGCTGTCCATGGCCAGGGGTCTGGGAGGACCTCAGAAGCTCTGAGTGGGCCACAGTTGGGCATGTGCCCTCTCCCCTCCCTGCTGTGAGTGGTCTGCTTCTGTTACTGCAGCCCAAGGCCCCTGAGCCATCCAAGTGGCTGGGTGACTTTTCTGGCTACTTAGAAGCCCCTAGAAGGGATGTTTTTACAGACCTGACAGCAAGCCAGGTCCACATTAGCCATCCCAGATTGAGGCGTTAGAGCTTGGGCAAAAGTGCCTAAAAGTACAAGCATTAGGACATACCCTGAAGGAGGAATTTGAGTCTTGAGACCTCCTTAAGACCCTTCCTATGCCTGGGGTGGCATGGTGCACTGGACCCCATCCCTCCCTCAAAGTCTCCCAGCCTCCCACACCCAGTCCACAGCCACCTCCTGTCCTTCAGCTGAGTCAACATTTTGTTCCCCACGTGACCACTAGGTGGGAGCACAGATCTGCAGTGAGGTTGGGACTGGGGCCACATTGAAGATGGGCAGGATGGGGTTGAGGCAGCTCTGGGGGCCTCTCTTACTGGGGGGCTGGGCCCACTAGGCAACTGGGAGCTGAGTGTGTGCCTGGGGGCTTGTAGGTTTTCGTGGGTGTGAGTGTGTGGGGTGTAGGTGAGCACATCTCTGCATGCAGGAACCTCTGCAACCATTGGGTGCGTGTGCCCATGAGCACACTTGTGTGCATGCATGCAAGGGCACATGTTCACAAATGCCAGGGCATGTGCACACATGCATCTACGAGTACACACAGGGCCTAGATCTGCAGAATTCTTCCTTCCCCCCATCCAGGCTAGTGGACAGGATCTGTCCCTTGAACTTTAGTGCTTCCAGAGTGGGAGGTGGTTCCAGGACTCAGGCCCCAAGACCTTCCGCCTGCCTCATGCCCTCAAGCTGTGTTGAGCCAGTGTGGGGGCTTGTCCCATCTTTGCCTGTTTTAGGGTCCTGCTGAGCTGTGTGTTGTGTCAGGTTAGGGACTCATTACTGTTCCTGGGGGTCTTGGAGAAGAAGGAAAGCCCAACAGCAGATTGGGGGCACCCCCAGCCCCAGCCTAGGGGAGGGCCTCACACTGGGGTTTGTACCCCTGGTTCTGCCAAGGCACTAGGGAGGGCAGATGGGGCCCTGCTGGATCCAGCAGTGGCCCACTTAGCATGCTGGGCTTCAGACGTCCTCCAGCTGGGCCCATTCCCCTGTTCGTTTAGGTGCCCATAATCTCCTCCCGCCCCCTTCCCTTCTTCCTGAAGGCAATGTTAAGCAGATTTAACAGGTCACCACCGAGCTCCATGCTGCCAACTCCAGTGTTAACTCTCAGGACTTCTTTTACTGGACCATCAGAAGTGTTTGACACAGCCATTCCTTCCCTCCTTCTGGAAACACTCCCTTCCTTGGCCCTGGGACTCCGCTGTCCTGGCGTTCCTTCTGTCCCCCCGGCCCTCCTGCTCAGCCTGCCTCTCTGGTCTCCCTGACTTATCCAGGGGATGCCCCAGTCCCAGAGCCTCTTCCAACCCCTACTTCCTTGGTGATCTCACCCAGCTTGTGGCTTTCAAATGGCTGCCGTTTGATAGAATTGAATTATTTGTTTTGTTTATCATCTCTCTCTCCCCACTAGAAAGCAAGCTCCACACAGACAGAGACTTTTTTTTTTAAGTGAGGTTTACTGAAGTATAATTTACATACGGCTCAATTCACTTTTTAATGTATGGTTCTGTGAGTTTTGACAAAGGTGTAGAGTTGTGTAACCACCTCCATGATCAATTACGGGACAGTTCCAATTATGCCCAAAAGTGCCCTGAGCCCCTCTGTGGTCAACCCCACACCCAAGTCCCAACCCTGGTAGCTGCCGATCTGTTTTTCATTCCTATATTTCTGTCTTTTCCAAAAGGTCATATAAATGGAGTCTGTACAGTACGTAACCTTTTGAATCATTTTCTTCCTCTGACCACAATGCATTTGAGATTCACCCGAGATACCTATGGTATCTCTCCTCATGTAGTTTATTTTATATTTTATTTTATGTTTTATTTTATTTTATTGTTTATTTGGATGAACCATTGTCCTCGTTTGCCTGGGACTGAGATGTTTTCTGAGATGTAGGACTTTTAATGCTAAACCAGGATGGTTGCTTACCATGGTCCACTAGTTGAAGGACATTGGATTGTTTCTATTTTTTGTTGATTTTGTATATATATTCAATATAACCAATGACATATAAGGTTTTTCATAAACATAAATTTTCACTTTTCTTGGGTAAATACCTGGAGTGGGGTTGTGGGCTTGTATAAAGAGGGTGCATCTAATTCTGCCAAACTACTTTCCGGAGGGACTCTATCATTTAGCACTTTTATCAGCATTGTGTAAGAATTCCATTTGCTCCAGATCTTTGCCAGAATTTGGTAGTGACTGGTAAAAAATTTTTTTTAATGTAGCCATTGTAATAGGTATATGATGGTATCTCCTTGTGGCTGGCAGGGATTTCCTGTGTCTATTTTGTGTAGTGTTGTGCCCCAGTGCCTGGGACAGTGCCTGCTACATAGGCTGGGCTCTTCCCAGTAAAGTGCTGAGATGTCTCTGACAAAATTGAGATAGGATGGGAGGCAGGGACACAGATCTGGACCCTAGCCTGGGGTAGGGCACTGTCTTGGAATGTTCCCTGGGCAGCAGTGTGGCTGGGTGGAAAGGCTGATGCCCATGATCTTCTGCAGGTGCCCCGGGGCCGCCGGGATGGCCTGCCTCCCCACATTGGCTCTCTGGCCCAGCGGGCATACTGGGCACTCCTGAGCCAGCGGAGAGACCAGAGCATCGTGGCCCTGGGCCGGAGTGGCTCTGGGAAGACCACCTGCTGCGAGCAGGTCCTGGAGCACCTGGTCGGGATGGCAGGCAGTGTGGATGGCAGGGTCTCAGGTACAGTGGTCTCCAGGTGACTTGCAGAGTATGTGTGTGTGTGGGGGGGTGGGGCTGGATGGAGAGAGCTGGAGGGGGGTGCTGGGCTGCTTTTCCTTATATCCATTCAGCTAACATTCACTGAGCACCAGCTAACATTCACTACTGAGCAGTGCTGCCCCTAGACACCTTTGTTTGAATTAGAAAAGAGTAAACCTTCCTCAAGACATCAGAGGCTGTTTACAGAAAAATCATCATACAATGACATTGTTAGAACCAGATACTTGACTGCTATCTGCTGGGAATCATGCTAATAAATGTACAAATCTATGATAGTACGATGTGAATGGTGGCCCCTTTCATGTGGTGTCTTTGTGCAGTGTGCAACATGCTCAACTGTACAGTGGACCCAACAAGTAAAGACAGAAGGGCAGGGCCTATGTTCATGGCGAGGAGCTGATGATGGAAACTGAGCTGTACAAATGCGCCAAGCTTGAGCTCTCTGCAAAAAGTGCTGGCAGAGCATGTTAGGGAAAAGGCCAAGTAAGCACAGAGGATTTTCATGGGAAGGGGGGGGGGGGTCCTTTGACAAAGTTATATTTGGGCTGAGCCTTAACAAAAGAGTGCTGATTAAAAATAATAATTATAATCATTAAAATATTAATAATCATCATAGTAAACACTTACTGAGGACTAATGTGCCAGGCCCTATTGAGGGTATTGAGATTCAGAGAGGTTAACTAGCTTGCCCAATGCCACACAACGAATACATCCTTGAGCTGAGATTCACACCCAGGCAGTCTGGCTCCAGAGCTGTAACCACTGGGCCGGTGTTCTCAACCTTTTTAAAAATTGTTTCCCCCCCCCAAGGAGCATTTTTAGACATTTTTTCCCCCTAATCATTCCCCCCACCATGAAATTTTAATACCACAGATAAACCATATATCCATTTATATGTTATATACATCTATGTTCTTTATATAAAGAGAGTAAAATGTTTTCACCACCACACGCAAGAGTAAGTTTTGCCCACCTTGGGGTTAATATCCTCCCCATTGAGAATACACGACGTAGGCAATATTGCTTTTCTAATAATAATAAATATAATACCACCATCACCTCTGGAGCACTTTCTATGCACTTTACGTTATTAAATCCTTTAGTTCTCATGACAACCATATGAGGTAAGTGCTATTATTATCTCCCTGAGGCACAGGGACGTTGATTAATTTGCCCCAGATCAGGAAACTAGCAAAGGGCAGAGCCCATATTCCACCACTCTTAACCCCTGTGCTACGCTGTTTCTCCACTAGGGTTATTCCGATGCTTTATCAAGCACCTGCTCTGTACCTGGCCCATGTTTGGAGCTGGGGATACAGTAGAGAGAAGCACCAGTCTCTGCCCTCCCAGAATGTAGTTCTGCTGTGAGTGTGTGTGTTTGAGGGTGGGAGTCAGGATAGGCTGTATCCAGGTGCCTAATACAGTGTCTGGTGCATAGGAGGTACTCAATGAATAGTTGTAGAGAGACCACAGGGCTTTTCAAGACTGCTGCTAGGCCTTGAGCTGCCTGACAGCAGGTTCGAGGGTGCTAGGATTTTGCCCCTTTCGTGGGTTCTGTCAGGCCCTAGAGACCCTAGGGCAGCCCACGTCACCCGGGCTTTGCCTATCTCAGGTTTGTGTGTCTCTCCTTTGGACTGAGTCTTGATCCCCCGTGCCCCTGGTGTAGCACAGGGCCATGCCAGGAGTTGGTGCTCAGTGAAACGTGTGGGGTTTAGGGCTGAGTTGAGGGGGTGGCGGGTAGCTGGCAGGGAGCCTACAGGATGGAGCCTGGCCTTGAGCAGGGGCCAGTGCGAGAGGCAGCAACACCTGGGCCATGGGTGACACCCGGTCCCATACCCCTGACAGTGGAGAAGATCAGAGCCACCTTTGCTATCCTCCGGGCCTTCGGTTCTGTGTCCACGGGCCACAGCCGCTGTGCCACCCGGTTTGCCATGGTGATGTCACTGGACTTCAACGCCACAGGCCGAGTCACGGCTGCTCAGCTCCAGGTGAGACTTCAGGGTGAATGAGCAAGAGGGTCCTTGGGGCTGCCATGTCCCCTGTCCCACTCAGCAGAGCCCTGGGCAGCAGAGTAAGCCAGCCTGCCTGCGCTTCAGAATATCCCGGGGATGAAATATTCATGAGGAAATATGTAATTCAGTCGCTCATTAGCCAGGTCTTAAAAACGCAAGCTGAAATTAAACAGACGCTCGCCAGCCTTCCGTGGCAGTCCGTGTGTGACGAACACATGGCCTGTTGGTTCCTATCTCCAAAATCACCCGCACCCCTCCCCATTCCCCCTCCAACATTCTGTTTGAACAGAAAATAGGATTAGGTTATTAGAAGGGCTGTTTGTACATGGAGCTGGGATAATATCCAGACTCAAGGAAAACACCTTGTTGCCAAATAAGTCCCTTTTCTGTCCTGGCCCTGAAATTCTATCATTAATCACCATTTGGGTCAAGGTATTAAAGGCTTCTGTTAAAAAGGAATATGTTGGAGAGTGGCTCCATTTAATTGTTATTACCTTTGCATGCTTTGATTGGAATGAGTCTATTGCAGTAGTTGATTTCCTAGGTAGACCCTGAGTACTGAGACAAAGGGCTGGTAAGTTTTGATACAGAGGTTGTCAGCAAAGCTTGGACCTGAGATGCTGCCTCAAAGAGTGGGTCAGGTGGGACACCTGGGTAGCTGGGCACCAGGCCTGGGGCAGATGCACCCCAAGCACTGACCAGGTGCCCATCCTCTCCCCCTGCAGACAATGCTTTTGGAGAAGAGCCGTGTGGCACGGCAGCCAGAAGGGGAAGGCAACTTCGAGGTTTTCTCCCAGATGCTAGCTGGGTTGGATCTGGATCTCAGGTGAGTGACTGGGGCAGGCAGGAACAGCTGAAGGCAGTGAGACAAAGGCACCTGCTCTCCAGGGGCCCAGCCTTGGCTTCTGCCCAGAGTAGAAAGGCAATGGAACCAGTGGTTAGGAAGGTGGCCTCCGATTCCAGCTGCCTGGGTACACACTACTCATGGCCTGAGCGATTATGGTCACATGACACCCACTCTGAGGCTCGGTGTCTTCCTCTATAAAGTGGAAACAATACCTTGAGTGGACCTTATGGGAGTAAATGAAATAATTCACATGCACCTCTTTATAAATGCTGGGGGAAGGGGGAAGGAGGAGGCCGTCTGCTGTGATAGTGACATGTTCGTACAGGGCTTGACAGCAGTGTGGGAAGAGGGCAGGGAACAGCGGACCCCAAGTGTTCTATGAGTTTCTGAATCTCGTGGGAACCTTGGGTGCATAGAAGGGTGTGCCCAAATGGGGTGCCTCAGGGAGCCAGGTGAAGGAGTGAGCAAAGTAGTGAGATGAGCCTCACCTTGGAGGGCTTCCCGGGGAAAATAGCCCAGGGAGTCATCTCAGCTCCTCCCTGACTCTACAGGGCATCTTTGGGCATTTGGCTGCCCCTCTCCAAGCTTTGGTTTCCTCATCTGTTGGATGAATGGGCAAGGTTCTAGTGAAGCCCCAGGGAGAGGGAAAAACTGGGTTTCTCCATGCGAGGGGGATAATTTATGGTTTGCCCCTCTCCTTCCTCCCATTTTGCCCCCCTGCCTTCCTCTCCCATCTGAAAGGCAGGCTCAACCTGTCCTGAGCATCCTGGCTAAGGCTGGAGGGACAACTGTACTCTGCAGAGAGAAGGCAGATTACAGAGAGAATTCCCAGTTTTCAGGTCTCTCTCACCAGATTGACTGTGATATCTTTAAATCAGGGGCCTTGCCTTACTCCTTTCTGCATCACCAGTACCTCACATAGGGCTTGGCACCAGGTAGATACTTCTTAATTATTTTTCAAAGTGTATTTCCAGCTAATGAAAGAGGGTGTGACTAAAATAAAGAGCACTTATTCTGTACCAGGCTGGCAGTGCAACTTTATATACAGTGTCGTCTAAGGCAAAGTAGTAGAATGCCCATTTTACAGATGAGAAAAAGGGAGACTCAGAGAAAAGAATTACCTTGTCTGCTAAGTGGCAGGGTATCCCCACACTGTGGTGACCACCTGCCCTGCCAGGCCACTGGTGTTAGCAGTCCCCACTTACTACTGGTCCCTTCTCTGCTTCCAGGACAGAGCTGTACCTGCACCAGATGGCAGACAGCAACTCTTTTGGCATGGGCGTGTGGTCCAAGGTAAGGAGAAGGTTCTTTGGGGTTGGGGTGTGAGTCTGTGTCCCTGGGACCAGGATGGAAGGGTGATGGAGGGGTTTCCTGCATAACTCAACTCCTCTGGCACTGGGGTCCACAGTTGGCAAGGGCTGGTTACGTGGGAGAGTCAGGAGTTGCCTTCGTAGGATCTGGCTTGTTGGGGAAATGAGACTTGTACAAATAAATGAACCCAGGAGGTGGTATATTTAGAAGTAGGAGCATGGCCCCTGGAGTCAGATTGTCTGAGTTTAAGTACTGGTTCTGACACTTAGGTATGACCTCAGGCATGGACTTAACCTCGCTGAACGTCTGTGTCCTCTTCAGTAAAATAAGGCTACAATGATGTGTATGAAGTGCTTAGTACGGGGCTTGGCCTGAATCAATCAATAGGCTACTGTCAGTAAATACTATTGGTGATTAATGTGGGTGGGTAAGAAGATGGTTCCTGATGAATGTGTTGTGAGTGGGGCCATGAGAGGTGGATATTCAATTGCTTAAAAAAGTAAATAGTTCACTTGTTTGATATTTTATTCATTTATTGATACTTTAACAACTGTTTTGTGAGGCCCCTTCTCCCTTAAATACCTCTGCCACCACCTGTGCTGGGCCTGTGCTAAATGTTAGGATTATGGTCCTCATCTATGAATTTTTACTCTTACAGGAGAGACAAACATGGAAATTATTGCAATCATGTAAGTTAAGAATATGTCAGAGATTGCATGAGATGCTCTGGGCACCACAGGATAGTTGAAAGAGCTACTTGTCCTCAGTCAGGAAAAACTTCTTAGCCAAAGGGATATTTGACTTGGGTTTTGATGGATGAATAGGAGCTCACCAGGTGGAAGAGGCTGGATAATTTCTACTCCAAAACCTCTTTCCAAACATATATGTCTGGAAAATAAATGGTACTGGAATAATTGGATACCCTCATGAACATTTTTTTTAAAGGAAAATTTTAACCTACACTTCACACCATATGCAAAAATTAACAGCAACAACAAAAAATGGATCATAGACCTAAATGTAAAACTTAAAACCATACAATTTGTAGAAGAAAGCAGGAAAAAAATCCCTGTAAAGGAAAATTTTAACCTACACTTCACACCATATGCAAAAATTAACAGCAACAACAAAAAATGGATCACAGACCTAAATGTAAAACTTAAAACCATACAATTTGTAGAAGAAAGCAGGAAAAAAATCCCTGCAACATTTGGCTTAGCATAGAATTTTTAGATGTGATGCCAAAAGCACAGTTTGTAAGAGAACAAATCAACAAAATCAAGAGCTTCTGCTCTGTTGGTATAAAACATTGCTAGTATAAGACACTGTTAGTATAAAAAGACAGGCCATAGAGTGGGAGAAAGTATTTGCAAATCACATGTCTGATAAAGGATTTGTATCCAGCATATAAAAATAACTCTCAAAGCTCATAAATAAAACCTGACAAAATAGGATGGGCAAGAGATTGAACATACACTTCACCAAAGAAGATAAATGACTGGCAAGTAAGCACAAATGAAATAAGCTAAACATCATTAGTCATTAAATAAATTCAAACTTAAACCACAATGATGTATCATGATGCAATCACTAGAAAGACTAAATTTAAAAATATTGATCATATTAAGTGCTGGTGAGAATTTAGGGTAACTGGGATTCTTGTACACTGCTGGTGGGAATGTAAAATAGTATAACCATGTTGGAAAACAGTTTGATAGTTTAAAAAAACAACAACTGTATGCCTCTCATATGACATACTATTCTACTCCCAAGTATTTCTGCATGAGAGTGAAAGTGGGTGTCTATACAAAAACTTTTACATTAAAATTCTTAGCAGTTTTATTTATAATAGGCTAAACTGGAAT